AGGACCAATGAGAAATACATCCTGTCCAAGAAGGTCCTTCTGCATTATCCAGCGTAGGTGTTGGGTGACCATTTGTGGCAAGGCCTCCATCACTGCAAAAAATAAATTAATATAATAAAATAAACATTAATTACACATACACACAAACATTGTAGACATAATTATGATTCAAATAATTATTAAATATTGAGGCGATGCCAACATTTGCCTATTATGTCAAGTTTGAGAAAGTGTAATGTGTTGACATACAGGGAAATAGAAAAAGCTAACAATTACACGACCATAAAGTTAACAACTTAAATTGTAGATTACTAAATTACTTGCATCCTGTCAAATTTCTGATACTCAATACTGATCTTCTCTTATGTTAAAGTAAGTTCAACATTCCTTACAATGTACTCATGCTTAAGTGATTGTAAACTTTTATTTCTTTGTTCTGTGGGAAACAAAATATATTCTGAAGAATTTTGGAAAAAGCTCTGATATCCATAGTAGGAACAAAAAAATACTATGGAGGTCAATGGAAATTCTTTAGAATATCTTTGTGTTCAAAAGAAGAAACTAACAGTTTTGAAATAGGATGATAAGTAAATTATAACTCATTTTAAAGTTGAGTCAATTACCCCTTTTATTATTCTATGCAACATCGTAACATTTACTGGGTCTAAACTGTAGAGTGATTGTTGATGACAAAAAAGGTTAACTTCAGTCTAAACAATTTAAATTAGTATCAAAACAACGTGGCTTGTGCATAAAATCTTGCAACTGTTTTCTCAGAGTTAGTGTCACTTCTGTAAGCTGTATGTTTATGTTTTTTAAATTGCTTTTCATGGTCTGGGTTTTTTTTTTTTTTGGCCTTTAATGGAGTCAGGTGTTGTTACAGCAACTACAGGTGTTTTATAACTTGCACATACTGTGATTCACTGGCACAAGTTCTGGATTTTTGGGGGTTTTGAGGACATACGAGATCTCTCCTATCTTCACAGTGTCACCTGTGAAGAAAACGAAAGTGTTCCTTAACAAAACAAAGCAAATGTATGTATGCATGCATGCATAAACAAACAAACATACAACATATTAAGTATTCTGCTAAAAAACAAACCCTGTAAACCGAAAGCGGATTCATTTATAACATTTCTATATTTATGGAAACGTTAAAGATATACAATCTGACAGAATTTTAAAAAGAAAATGTGAGCTCTGTTTGACACGTGAAAGTGACAGTATACGTTAAAGGTCGCTGCATCTGTTTAACAACAGTCTTTGCTGACAAGAAATTATATTATATCACATAAGCAGACTTTAACTTTGACGGATCCAGTACCTGATGATGTGTTAAGGAGTTTGACCTCATGTGCGCTACAGTTCCAACCTTCTTTTGACATCAAGGGTCCCAATATATGGCGAATCCTTCTCGCAGCAACGGCTGCTGCCGTTCCTTTGAATAAAATACGCGAGTGCATTCTGAAGCTTTATAGGATAAAAAAAAGACCACATATACCGTTAAGTGTCCACTGTTATTTCATCATGTTCGCGTCACTTCATGAGTGTTTACATCACCGGTGAACAGCACTAGACGGAGGGATTACAACGAAGGACAGAAACTGTCCATTCAATAACTCCTCCGTGTGGAACGGGCTGCTGTTTCATGGGTTCCAAGAGAAGCAAACCGTTTTTTTTCTTTTTGGCAATTTTAGAACACAGAATATTCAGGGGCAATAGCATAACATTAAATTGACATAAAAGTAAATAAAATGTAAAAAAAAAAAAAAAAAAAAAAAAAAAAAAAAAAATATATATATATATATATATATATATATATATATATATATATATATATATATATATATATATATATATATATATATATATATATATATATATATATATATATATATATATATATATATATATATATATATATATATATATATATATATATATATATATATATATATATAATACAATAATTCAAAGAGAAGATTTAAGGCTTTAAGATAATTAGCAGTTCTTTGTGCTTTGTTTTTTTTATTTTGTTGTACACAGGTAATGACCTACTTATATTTTAAAGTGAGTAAAATTAGTTTTTTTTTTTTCCACTGCCCATTTACATTTATGCATAAAAAATACATCTATAAGAGCAAATGAACAATACACCAAAAGAAGCAAACTTGGATAATCAGTTAAGGGATTGGTCAAGAATATTTTGTTTACAGTCTATGGTCAACTGAAGCCCTGATTTCTAGGAATAACTCACAAATGTTGCTTCTGTTGAGGATACAGTAATTACAGTCAAGATTTCGAAGATGTTTGTTAACTGTTAAGGTTCAACTTGGATTGGCAACAGTTATCTAAACTTTACAAGCAAACATGTGTAGACCGTTTGGATATAAAATAATGAATAGTTAATAGTTAATGAATAAAACAGTTCGAAATCATCTTGATATATAAGACAATTGTCCTATTATTAATAATCATTTACATTACAAAAATGTTTTAAACAACTAATGGGATATGTTTTATTATAAAATAAGAAAGAATGATTGTCTATTATATATATATATATATATATATATATATATATATATATATATATATATATATATATATATATTTTTTTTTTTTTTTTATCTTCTTTTTTCTTCTTCTTCCTCTTCTTCTTCTTCGTCTTCTTCTTATTATTATTCTTCTTATTATTATTCATATTACCATTGTTATTCTGTTATCAACTTTTAAAAGTTTTACTTTATGGTTAAGATTAAATAGAATAAAATTAATATGTATAGAGTAAGACATCAACAGACATCATCTTAGTAAATCAGCTAGACAAATAAATTATTTTGATGCAAAAATAGTGTCAAATGTAAATATACAATGTTTGTTTCTCTTAACTCTTCATGACCCAACGAATAATGTTTTAAACAACTAACAGGGGTGGACTTAACTAATAAGCGGAACCTGGGAAATTAGGGGGGCCCGGCCAATGCCAAAATAATATATACATTTTTTTTTATATACTTTTTTTATCATATGTTGTAAAATCTGTCTAAAGCCATTAAGAGTTTAATGTTACACTTGAGCGCTGCATGGTATCCTAGTGGGAAGCACGTTCGCCTCACAGAAAGAAGGTAGCTGGTTCGAGCCTCAGCTGGGTCAGTTGACGTTTCTGTGTGGAGTTTGTACTGTATGTTCTCCCAGTGTTTGCGTAGATTTCTTCTGGGTACTCCAGTTTCCTCCACAAGTCTAAAGACATGCCGTAAGCTAAATTGTCTGAGGTGTGTGTGAATGAGGATGTTTCCCAGTAATGGATTGCAGCTGGAAGAGTATCCACTGCGTAAAACATATGCTGGATAAGTTGGCAGTTCATTCCGCTGTGGTGACCCCAGATTAATAAAGGGACTCAGCCGAAAATTAAATGAATGAATGAATGTTAAACTTAATTTCAAAACCAGGGATAATGAAAAACCGTGAATAATGGAATGTTCGCTCCATGCTTCACATCCAGATATTAAAATCTAATCATAAATATGGCTAATTAACTGTTAGTTTGTGAACTTGTGTTTTTTTTTTTTTGTGCATTTATTGTATTTAAATAATTAAGAAGTTTTATTTACAAAATAAATCAGCAGAGAAATAAAAAATATCTATAGAAAAAGAGAGTGTTTTGAGTTTTAAGGGCATGATTAAAATTTGGTCAACACAATTTTGGCACAATTTTTGCTTAACTAAAATAACAAAATTAGAATAATATTTATACTGGCATGTCATGTTTGTAGCAAAAATAAACATGTCTTTCTAAACAGTCTTGCGTTTTTAAGCCAAGGCTTGTTTATTGTTTTTACGTCTTTGAAAAAGTGGGATAAAAAGCAGGTTCCGTGACGTCACAAATTGCGCTCCAATTCCTTATAGGGATCTGACATTTATCACGTGGAGAGAAGCAGGCTCAGCCTCTGGGAGACCCTGATAGAGTAGGGAGGAGTGGAGAAAGGGAAATAACACTCGGTGTAATAGACTTGAACCATATGCCCGATTATACGAGTAAAAGTAGCGCGTCATTTGTGCTGAAAGCGTGTGCGGACAGATCCTGAGCACGGGGACTAGGAGAATATGGAAGATGACTGCCAATATACTCGCAGCCCTGCCTGGGAAGAACTGGTCAGTACTGCTGAACATTTTCTATTCTGACAGACGTCAAAGAGATCCTGTATAACCTTACATACATGCAGATCACTGTTTATATGCGTTAATTGGGGATTTTAGATCTGATTGTGGCTTATCGCGATGTGAATGCAAGATCGCTGCAGTGATACGCGAAGAATCTTCCATCTTCAGCTGAGTTCGGTCGCTCATTAGGGGAGTTTACATTCCTCTGTACAAACCGATGAACTTTATAACGGGACTGATTTAACGTTAGCCATTAGCCTTTAGGTTAGTCATGTAAATGTTAAGTTATATATAGTCTATCAAACTTATTAGTTGTCATTTTGTGTGTTTATTTTTGGAACACAGGAAGTTGTACTTTTTATTTAAAACGAATAAATCAGGAAACATAACTGTGACGTGGGTTTTCTCAGTGACATTTGCTATCAGCTGCTGTTAGCTATTCAAAGTTACAATGGGGAGGAAATGTGCCAACCGCAATGACCCATTTTCATGTGGATATAGTGGAAGCAAATTATACTCTTGTGTAGGCTATTTGGTGACAATAGCCCTTACATTTAGAGATGTTGGAAATTAGAGACAGTTAAAGCTCTTTAGTGACATTTTTATAAATGTAGGCTACTGAATGTGACGATTTGAACAACTGATCAATAAAAGCAATCAATAGGTTAGGTCAACTGTTTTAATTCCCAAGACACCAATTAAAGACTACTTGCCAGCAAAGCATATAGTCTTTATTACAATAATGTTATTCTATTTAATTGTAAATGTGTGCAATTATGTGCTTATTTTATTTCCATGGCAAAAATGTGTGAAAATAAGATAAGACAAACATTATATGTTAATTTTTTTAGAGAGAGAGATGTTATGCATCCTAATTATTATTTTAGCGTCTGCAGCAAATCAACAATAACATCTATACTAAACTTATTGGCGAACTACTACCGACATGTAGGCTAAATGTGTAATAAATTGATTACATTTACTTATGTTATGTTGTTCAGTTGTTATAATGTCACATCCTGCATTAAATAGCTCCAACCCTCAACTGTTGCTATGGTTACAGTCTCAAGCGGGGGATTCTTTCATTTATAGTGCAATGTTATATCGTTACTTTTCTAACTTATAATGTTTATATTTGTACATTAACAACATTTCAGTACAAGTCTGAGTGACAAAACGATATTTTTTTTACCGCAACGCATAGGGCCCAGATTATTTTCGACACTGTACATATGCTTATTATAACGTTAAATATATTCGACTAAATGTTTTTAGCGTCTAGGTAGAATCTTTCCTCTGACAGCACGTTGCTTTTAGAAAGCGCGTCAGTGTCCAAACTAGTCTATTTGACCAGGTTTTGAGGCTCCGTCTTCTTATGGCTATAATGTTACAGGAGAAACATCTGTTGCTGTATCCTCCTTGCTATAGTTTGTGAGATACCCGTCCGCCGCTAGGGTTTGCTACAGAGATTTCCTCCCGCTTCGAGCGTCTCTGCCCTCCGCCAGCCTTCATGCGGTCAGGAGAACCAGCCGTGTTCCGCCGTCAAAATGCACGCTTCAAGGCTAGGAAAGTTTCATTTAAAATCTCGGACTAAGTGAATGTCTGAAGAGTCGCGGTTGGGCTGAGAAACGCAACAGCATGACGGCCAAGAGAACCGCTTTCCAGCCGTTGTCCAGCTCCCGCATCCCAGCGGAGAGGAAGGGAGCGGCTGAGCGCGTTCCTAACCCGGAGTGCTGTGACTTTCCCCCGCAGGAGCCGGAGAAAGCAGCTGCGTCCGCCTCGGGGGTTCCCGCCGTGGGGGCTGTCGGGGGCTCGGGGCCGGTGGTGGACGAGTCATCCGACAGCGAAGGAGAGCAGGAAGGGCCGCAGAAACTCATCAGGAAAGTGTCAACCTCCGGGCAAATACGAAGCAAGGTAAGACACGTTGTTTTATATCCAAAGCCTGTTGCTTTGTTCGTTTTGCTGTTCGTGTTCTGGCCATTAAGCCTAACAGAGCTGCTAAAGTCTTGCCCACATGGTGGACATCTATAAGCTCAGTGATGCATGTCTTGATTTAAACATCTGGAACGACTGTAAATTGAACTGGAATGTCGCGTCGTTTGTGTCAATTCATCTCTCGCAGTGAGCTTGTAGTAGTAAATGCAGCTCAGTTTGTAGTGCTGTGCTGCTGTTCAGCCTTCAACCTGTTGATCCGATCCGAAGTCACGACCACTTGTTGAAATATCTCTTTCTCAAGACTATGGACAGCTGTGTTCTTTTCTTTTCTTTTCTTTTCTTTTCTTTTCTTTTCTTTTCTTTTCTTTTCTTTTCTTTTCTTTTTCAAGTAGTTTTTATTTTTTTGTTTTGGTAATGTTCCCCTTATTATCACAAATTATATTATTTTATTCATTCATTCACTTTCTTTTTGGCATAGTACCTTCATTAATCAGGGGTCCACAGCGGAATAAACCGCCAACTTTTCCAGCACATGTTTTATGCAGCGGATGCCCTTCCAGCCGCAACCAATCTCTGGAGAACATCCATACACATTCATTTACATTCATATGCCACGGACAGTTTAGCCTACCCAATTCACCTGTACCACATGTCTGGACTGTGGGTGAAACAGGAGCACCCAGAGAAAACCCACGCGAACACAGTGAAAGCATGCAAACTCCACACAGAAACACCAACTGACCAAGACGAGGCTCAAACCAGCGACCTTCTTGCTGTGAGGCGACAGCACTATTATATTATATTATATTATATTATATTATATTATATTATATTATATTATATTATATTATATTTTATTTTATTTTATTTTATTTTATTATATTATTTTGAATTATATAGTATACTAATGTACAATATCGTAGTATAAACGTATATTTAAACAGATGAAACGCTGATACTTGGACACATCTGTATCTCAAGACCATGTACAGCCATGTTTTTTTTTCTTATTTTCTTTACTCTTTACTGTTTTTTGTTATTTTTATTTTTATTTTTTTTTATTTTTTTTGAAAATGTCCATCATCATTATCATTATTTTGGTTTCCGTGATTACTTATATTATATTATATTATTGAATAATATGATATGTTATTTTCCAATATAGTATACTTAAGCAGATCAAATGCTGAGACTTGGACACTGTACACAATTTACAGAGCCATGGATCCCCTATAAAGGTCGACTCATAACAGATCTTTGTATTTCATGTGTGATTTACCTGGGCATTTTTTTTTAATTTGTTTTGACATTTAAGTCACATCACATGTTTACTTTTTATAATCATTCAAGTATGACATTGAATAATATTTTTGAAAATATATTTGAAAATATCAACTAAAGCAATAAACAACTTTTCTCAGTTTATTTTTTTGGTAATAAACCGCTTTTTCCTGTTTATTTTTTCTGAGCAAAACATGACTATCATGCATTTTTTACTTTGATTTACAGAATACAACCACTAATATGTACAAACACACACACACACACACACACACACACACACACACACACACACACACACAAACACACACAAACAATAAATAGTAATGGTATATTTAAAAAAAATCTATTTAAAAATAACTGTGAAACCCCTAAAACAAACTAATCTCATATAAATAAATTAAAAATGGTTTTATAAATGAAATAAAATAGTATTAATATACAGAATAAAAAATGTACACCCTGCCACTTTCCTACATACTATTTTTACTTATTTTACCCATTTTACATTAACATATTTTTTGTATAATCACTTATTAGTTTATTTATTTTAGGTACAATGCAATTTTTAAATAACGTTAAAATGAATTACATTTTTACATTTTATTTTCACAAAAGTGATTTGAAACAGCAAGTTAAACACTTGTATGCATATAAAATGCTTTCCACTCATAAAATCACTTTCATACATTTATTTTGGTGCTTTAATGCTTCATACCATTTCAAGTAAGTGTTTTGTAAAATTACTTTTTGTCACAAAGAAAGACACACAAACACAAACATGTCTTGTGTTAGATTTAAAGCTGTGAGGTTATACATGTGAATGAGGGCTGATGGTTAGTTTTACACGTATTTACATATTTGTTAGCCCTTAAAAACCTATTAAATGCAAGCATGGTCTTTGATGGGTGATTTAATGAATGGTAATTGAAGCCTCTTGATTCCGCTCTCCTGCTTGGCAAGACGACACCTCAGCCGTCTTGCCCCACTTTAACCGTGACACCATAAAAAAGTTCCTCTTTTCTGACCAGAACAATTGCACTTAATTATTGAGTGCTGCTACATTATTTAAGAGGGCTATATTTAGAGACTGGCTGTGGAAGGGGTTGCTCTTTTGTGATGCTAATGAGCTGTCATTTTAAACCAAGCACATGTGTAAATAAAGCCTCGTTCAACAAGAATGATTCTGAAACATCACTTTTCCTCTTATCAATCAGTAAACATATATTAATGAATGCAACTCAATGCCCAGGCTACTTTCTAGGTTTGTCTCCGCTAATAACATTATATATTACTGAACATACGGTTACAAAACATATAATGTTAAAACATAATTAAACAGAAGTTTGAAGCATGTGCTGAAAGTTTAAGCACAGAACTTTTAAATACTGCAGTTACTATTGATGAATATTCAGATAAGCCATAACATACACCATCTTAAAATATTTAAAAACATAAATATAAATAAATAAATTAACATAAATATAAAAAGCTGCACTATAGATTATATACTATATATATGTATATTGTGTGATATATATATGAAATATATCACACAAACAACATCTCAGAATATATTGAAAATAAGGGACATATTATGCAAAATTCACTTCTGCATGTTGTTGTTTTTTTAATTACAAAATTACAATAGGTAGGAATAAACAGTGTTATTGCACCAATTCTTGGTTTTTTTAACTTGTATAGCATTAAACATTGGTATTGTGTTGTTTAAAACGAATATAAACTTTAAACATGGCACATTTATATGACAACATTGTTATTTTAACATTGTTTATATTTCTTTGAAATATATGTCATCATTAATAGTTTACAGAATAAAATCAAAAATATATTTTAATTAAACACATTACTACAGTTTGTAAATCCAGAGAAACTGAATGTTTTATTATTTTCCCCATATTTGTATACAGTTGGGGAAAAAGTATTCAACACATCATAATTTTTCTTAGAAAGCATATTTGCTGTTGGCTAGAAAATTTTCACCAGATTTTGATAACAACCAAATATATATATATATATATATATATATATATATATATATATATATATATATATATATATATATATATATATATGAAAGCAAAACAAATCTAATTAGTTTACAAACTAAGCTATGTGTAAAAAAAGGTGTAATAAAAATTAAACGACACAAGTAAACTGTATTGAACACATGAAGAAAGGGAGTTGTAAAAAGGCAGTGAAAGCCGAAACAGCAGCTGAAATCTCTCAGTAGTTTTTTAGCACCCCCCTGCCCTTCCTCATTGTAATTTAATATTAGCTGCTCCTGTCCAACATGTATTGAGAAAAAGTAGAATGACCCAGCCAATCACCTGACTTGAATCCAATATAAAATGTATTATTAAACTACTCCTTATATTTATATCCTCATTAAAAAGGCTTAATTGTTGTGTGTCATTAAAATTGGCATTATCAGTCATAACAAAATCCATTTTGGTCAGTTAGAAATAACCTGTTACAATATATGTGGATTGAGAAGTACTAATTCTATTTTGTGGATTATCTTCTCAGCATTCTCACTATAGACTAGAGTAATCATAGCGCTGAGGAAGTACATTTGTTTTTAGAGAGTTCTTCTCCAGTGCATATGTGTTTATATTAGACTGGTCTTGTGCAGTTCTGTTCAGCTGAGTGCCTCCCTTTGCCCTGGTAACTCTGTGGAGAGCAGCTAACGTTCAGGCCATCTGTGTTCTCAACGGGAAGCGTTGTCGCTTTTGCCTCTGTGGAGATGCACTGATCGACCGGCCACAAATTGAAATCAGACCTTTTTTTTTGCTCAAAACATTCAACAATTTAGATGATCTCTGTTTTATACTGAATTGCAACGATTTTATAGTAAAATTTGTAAGCATAAACAGCTTTAACAGAAGCCAGAGCAGCTGAAAATGCAGCAAAGATAATCCAGAAGACAGAAATACTGTCAGCTTCATAGCAAAACGATATATTTTTTAAAACAAATTTTAACAAACTTTGCTCATTTCATACGCAACTTCTATGAGGTTTAAAAAATTAAACAAAAATGTTAAACGTAGTAAAATGTTTGTGTTTAGGCATCAGTGCTTCCCACAGGTTTGAAATATACTTGTAGCAGTAGCCGGATTGAAACACTTTTTACCCACAACACATAAATGGTCAACTACATACAAGAGACAAAAACAAAAATGTGATTTTTAACTATATTTTTATTTATTATGACACTAATACACCTTTTCATTTCAATGGGTTAGAGTAGTTTAAAAAAAAGGCTGTTGAAATAAAACAACCCCCCTGTTTCTCTTACATTTGTGCTATTTAGGAGCCATCTGTACCCACTGACAGGTAAAGGCTGCTCTCAGTTTCTCTAAAGTTGCTTTTGTGGCTTCACATTTACAGTATTGCCGAAGCATTTTAGATATGCATAAAGTATGTTATATATTAACATCATTAAATTAATAATATATACAGTAAATGAGAAATAAACATCAGACAAAAAAAGAAAGAAAAATAGACATTATGGCTAATAATTATAATAATTACTAGAATAAAAAGTGTATTATTTTAAGGCAAATTAATTGATTAGCCATTTATAACAAATATTTTGCAGGCATTATAAATGTAACTTTGTTCTCTCTGAGTATATTGTAAAGTGTATCTGAGTCGTTTATTAAATGATTAATCAT